CGGAAGCCACCAGAAGTCCGGAGAAACACCGCCTCAGGGATCCACCTCTTCATCCTCATCCTCTGGGAAATCAGGCTCCTCTTCCTCCGCTTGGTCCACCGTCTCAGGAGACAGACCCTTCATAGTGATGCTGTCGAGGTTGAGCCCGAAGAACTTTTTCCGAACCAGCCACCAACAGAGCTTAAACCCAGAGCGGTACGAACTCGAACCATATTCCACCTAGAGGTTGTGGTATTCCTGGGAGTCTCTAAAATCCCAAACCGCTTTCTCTCGTTCAGCCTCCACCATCTGATCAAAGTTTCGAGTCCGATCAAGAAGAGTGGACTCCAAGTTCCGCACCTGCTGCCTGAGGAGCTCCCTCTCAGCCGCCACCCTCGATGACTCCTCCCTGTAACACGCGCTCTCTTCAGAAAGCCGGGCAATTTGAGCCTCCTGGTCGTGGACGAGTAGCTCTTGAGACTCGCTCCCCTTGCGAGTGTGATGGAGCTCACCCCGGATCCGGTCGAGCTCGCCCTGGAGCTTCTTATTAGTAGCTCGTTGGTCGAGGGCGTCGCCGCGGTGGACGCGCATCTGGAGAGCCATGGCATGGATGGTGGAATTCACCTGCCAACAGAAGAGAAGATTAGAGGACAGTGAAAGGGAGCAAAATGAGAGAAGAAAAAGGAAAGGAGTCACTTACCACCATGTAGTGGGTAGAGGCGAACGCGGCGAGGTCCCCGGGCTCCATATTCCCCCAGTGAGCAACCTCGTCATTACAAATCGCCTTCCGGCTCCTCCGGSGAGCCACGAGGTAGTCGTTCACCCCTTCCCAGTTTCCCACTGGGAACCGGGGTAAGGGTGTGGTTGGAGGGGGTTACAGGGAGCCTCCCCCTATTGAGGGAGCTCGTCCCCTCTGAAACCAACCCCACTAGTTCCCTCGAGTGGGGGTGCCGGAATCTCAGGCGGAGGGGAGGATAAAACCGGCTCGGCAGACCCGAACTCAGTAACTCCCAAGGGGGGAGTCTGCTTGGGGCGCGTCCTCTTTGCTTGGCGCCTCTGGTTGTTCGAGAGAAGGCGGCGCGAATCAGTACTAGACATGATGGCTGCCAAAAAGAACATCAGTGTTAGTTCAGTAAGAATGAAATATATGCATGCGATAGTGAGTACGATGTTGTTACAGAAACCACACGACCTAAAAAGACAACCTACCTTGGCTCAGGCCAGCCTGCACGAGCTTCTCCTCGGCCAAGTAGTCCAAGCAGAGGAAGCCTACCGATGCCCAAGACAGCATCGTTTTCCGAGTTTCAGGGTCCAGCTCGGCCAAGTTGGGAAGGGCCACCCCTCAAGGTTGCGGACCACAATGTAATCCCGCTTCCAGGCGGGAATCTTATTTGGTAGCTCGTACAAGAGCTTATAGCCGCGACGGGGAGAGAGGTAGTAAAAGCGCCTCTCCGGAGGGACCCCAGGAGCAGCATTTTTTATACAAAGGTAGAGGCAAAAATATCAAGGTTCAAGGGAAGACAGTACTCGTAACACAAAGATATAGTCCCAACCATGTTTCGAATGGMGTTGGGATGAAGCTGGTCAATGGTGATGTTAAAATGATTTAGCACCTCCACTATTAAGGGGTGCAGGGGGAGACGCAAGCTAGCCTCGAGCTGTTCCTGGAAGATTACTATTTCCTTGGGACCATGCTCCCAAGGGAAGTTGCCAGTAGGGAGGCTGTAGACCAGGTCCCTAGGGAGGCGAAAGTAGCGGCTTAGAGACCTGAGTCTCTTCGCTGTCATGGAGGAAGGGCCAAAAGTGTTAGGCTCCCTCCCCCTAGAAGTAGATGCTACATCGCCGGAGGCCTCCTGATCCTCCGGGATCTGCTCCCAGGCTCCCCTCGAGCTCGAGGGAGCATCATCATCCTGGTTATCGCCCCGGTGGTAGGGGTGGTATGGGTACCCAGACATGGTTGACAACGATTGGGACTCACCAGAAGAGACAGAACGAAGCAAACTGAGGAATACGGGTAGACTAGATGAAGTGCGCGACCTCAGAATCCGAAGACAACAAGATGGCGTGGGAGAAAATGACGCCCAGAAGGCCCCCTATTTATAGTCTCCACTCTTCCAAATTGACGGCCTAGATCAAAGCAGATCCAACGGCCCGCGGGCGCACTGACCGCACGCCTTCTGAAAACTGAAGGTGATTGGCGTCACGTCTTCCATGATTAAGGTAATCGTGGCCGCACGATGTTCAGAGTTAAGAGCCACTTCAGCATGTTTTTGGAATCCGTAAAGTCGGGAAAGTCAGAAAATCTCTTGATTCCCGCGAATGCATTTAATGTGAGTAGTCAATCAAGTTTGAATTTCGGTCAAATCAATTCATCACGCTTCATAAACTCCCCGCACTAAGACAGTGCTCTCAGCCCGAGGAGTGGGAGGCAATTGATGGAGGACGATTTGACCCAACCTATGAAACAGTGACACAAGGACACTGACTCAGCACGAGCGACAACTCAGCGTTGTAGCCTGGTGCGACCAAGTGACGGGCCCATAAAGCAGTTCGCTACATTGTAGCTCACAAAAGGAGAAGCTCGCCACAACGCGAGCTCCGAGTTCCCCGAGCTACCTTTGAAGAGATACTCCGAGGCAACTTTAACTCGCGAGCTAAAGTTATTAGCTCGTCTGAGCTCCCAAGTAGACAAGTCATCCCAAGGACCAATTCTACTAAAGATAATCCTGGAGTGTTCCAAGCTCGCTACAAAATAGCTCGCGAATGAGCCGCATGAGCGCCCCTCAGGAAGCTTCTGACTGACTGACCGTACCGGTCAGACTGCGCCATATCCCTTACTGACGGCATAGTCTCAGTCCTTTCGGCAGTTTGCGTCCACGTTTCTCAGCAGGCAAAGGCGTGCCTACCACTTTGGAGACGTGTCACCCACCCGGGCGAGATGTACACCACAACGGCCACCTACGCAGCCCTAGCAGGTAACGGCTGTGGCAGGAGCCCACTGGCGGTTATGCCCGACCTGACGTGAGTGCCCCTATGAAATCCCTCAGGGCAGAAGAGAAACTTCTTCTTGAGACCTTTAATCTCTCGAGTATAGTGAGAACGCGCTTTCTGCACTCTTAGCCTTTGTCTCCTTTTTGCTTCTCCTACAGAGTACTAACTTAAGCATCGGAGTATCCCCAC